ATATCATCAGCAACCAAGGACTCCAAGGCGTACTTCCCCGAGAAAGGGCGGTCACCAACGGCCCTGCGCTCAAGTGTTCGTGGTAGTAGGTTGAGCACGTGCGCAACGAAGTCGTCGTCGAAGAGAGCGAGGCTGCGAAAATTCGTCCACGCCTCCCACAGGCGCCGCGCCAGACCCTCTGCGAAGTCGGCGGTCACATCCATCCTCAAAACGCCAGCGGAACCATCTCTGGAGTTCGCCACGCGCAGCGCTGCCAGACTGCCGAACTCTGCGTCGAGGAACTGGAGGAATATAGGAACGAAAAGGGCCCAAGCCCCTTGGAAGGTAGCGGCCGGCCCAACCGGGACGGCTCTCGCTGGCGCCGCGCCTGCCGCAGGTGCGGTTGGCGCTGGCGCCGCGCCTGGCGCAGGAGGGGCGCCCTGCTGACGAGCCCTGCGCGCCGCCTGGCGCTGCCTGCCGGCCATGGCGGAAGTCACGTAAGTGAGAAGCGGTTTCGAAAGACAAGCGGCGGTGAGCACGCGAGTCCCGAAGAACTTGAGCCTGAACGAATAGAGCGGAAAGTTTGTTGTGAACCTATTGAACGCTATTGCAAAACCATCGTCGCCGCAGCATCGTTTCTGGAAGTGCTGGTAGCGATACGCGAGGCCCTCTAGTCCCTCCCCCTGTACCTGGACGGGGTGGGCATATGAGAAGTTGCTCAGACATCGCGGCAAACTATGGAGAAGAGGGTCGAACTGACACACTGCGTGCAACCGTATAGATTTCTGATGCTCTTCCCTTTGATCTGGCGTTGGGCGGGTAGGGTGTCACAAGGATACGTGGAGCCAGATTTCATTGCCACCGCATCTTGATTGTAGATCGCTCGCTCACTGCCGCCATCTGCGGCTCAAGCGGACTGACGAGCCCCAACGGCGAAACTAGTCTCACCGCGAACTGTTTTTGCACCTTGAAATCGCCACGGCAAAACAAGTGCGGTGGACAAAGCGACAATGCAGAATCCGCCACCAGGTCTGCTCGGAGTAAGCGTGCGAGAATGACTTCCTAATGTATCCTCGGCCCTCGCTCCTCATTCCTCCTGCTCCCCGCTCCTCCTCTCCATAATCATAACAATCATCATCATGATCATCATCATTACCATCATCATCATAATCATAATCATAATCACCATCCCCATCACCACCAACATCATCCTCGCCACTCTTCCTTCGTCCCCTCCTCCTCTTCTTCCTCGCTGCTGCTCTCCTCCTGCTGCTCGCTTTTCCTCTCTTGGAAGGAGCAGAAGACAGGGAAAATAAATGAAAGGGAAAGGGAAGAGAATGAACGAGGGGACGGAGGAGACGACGAGGAAAGCAAACCAAGTCGTACCAGTGGATGCGTGTCGAAACACGACCCAAAGGAAGCGCACGAGTGCGTCCCAGTGGATGCGTGCAGAAGCACGACCCAGAGGAAGCGCACGAGTGCGTCCCAGTGGACCCGTGCAGAAGCACGACCCAGAGGAAGCGCACGAGTGCGTCCCAGTGGATACGTGCGGCAGCACGACCCAGAGGAAGCGCACAAGCGCGTCCCAGTGGATGCGTGCAGAAGCACGACCCAGAGGAAGCGCACGAGTGCGTCCCAGTGGATACGTGCAGAAGCACGACCCAGAGGAAGCGCACGAGTGCGTCCCAGTGGATGCGTGTAGAAAAACGATCCAGAGGAAGCGCACGAGTGCGTCCCAGTGGATACGTGCAGAAGCACGACCCAGAGGAAACGCACGAGTGCGTCCCAGTGGATGCGTGCAGAAGCACGACCCAGAGGAAGCACACGAGTGCGTCCCAGTGGATGCGTGCAGAAGCACGACCCAGAGGAAACGCACGAGTGCGTCCCAGTGGATGCGTGCAGAAGCACGACCCAGAGGTCCACAAAAAACGCGAGGAGGAAGAGGATCTCGCCTGAGAGGTCCCAAAACAACGGAGTCAAATGGAGGCTCCCGCCTGAGAGGTCCCAAAGAAACCCAAAGAAACCCAAGAGGACGGCCTCTCATCCCTGCAACTGTCCCAAAAACAAAAAAAAAGATCCAGAGGAGATCCACCACCGCTGCTCCAGCCTTGTTGGCAAGGGCGGCATACTCCTTTGAAGCTTTGTTTTTTGTTTTTTTGGGACAGTTGCAAGGATGAGAGGCCTTCCTCTTGGGTTTCTTTGGGTTTCTTTGGGACCTCTCAGGCGGGAGCCTCCATTTGACTCCGTTGTTTTGGGGCCTCTCAGGCGAGATCCTCTTCCTCCTCGCGTTTTTTGGGGACCTCTCAGGCGGGAGCCTCTTCCTCCTCGCGTTGTTTGGGACCTCTCAGGCGGGAGCCTCTTCCTCTTCGCGTTTTTCTGGGACCTCTCAGGCGGGAGCATCTTCCTCTTCGCGTTTTTTGGGGACCTCTCAGGCGGGAGCCTCTTCCTCTTCGCGTTTTTTTGAGACCTCTCAGGCGGGAGCCTCTTCCTCGTCGCGTTTTTTGGGGACCTCTCAGGCGGGAGCCGAGGAGACGAACAGTGAAGAGGAGGAGGAGGAGGAGGAGGAGGAGGAGGAAGAGGAGGAGGAGGAGGAGGAGGGAGGAGGAGGAGGAGGAGGAGACGAACAGTGAAGAGGCATAATAAGGTAGACCCCTGCGGGGGGGGGGGGGGGACCATATATGTATATATATATATATACATATATATATATATACACACGAATATGTCAATGTAGATACACACATGCTTCTACATCGAAGAAAACCATTGGCGGCGGAGCAGAAACCAGAGCTGCATTCAACGAATTTCGTAAAGTCCGACCTGATTCTCGTGGTTGGAACCACACCGTCCAAGAAAGCCAAAGTGGATATCCGCGGAAAACTCGCAATCACCGAATTACCAGCTGGCACCATGGCATATGATACCCTGGTAAACCCACGGCGGAAAGATCCCACAGGCGCCCCGATGCAGCGCTGGCACGATAGCGAGGCTTGCCGCAGGCAGCTGGATAGATGCCCCCGTTCAGCGGCAGGGCCATCACCACCTCGGCGTAGACGCCCCTGAAGCACCACAGCGTGAACGAGGAGAGCACGGTGCATATGGGGGCGTATACTCCAGCCGTCTTGGAGATTTCCCCCACCACGTAGAAGCAGCTGGAGGTGATGTCATTGCCGCAGATGGCGGTGCTTGCCAAAGGAGAAAAGCACGGAGCCATCCGCCACCGAGAACCCATCTGGGGGAGGGGGCCCAACCCAGGCGATAGCATGCCCCAGCGTCACCCAGTAATTACTGGACGAGGCTCAGGCGTGCAATCGGCCAGGGAATGCCCCCCACCCCACCCCCAGATGGGTTCTCGGTGGCGGTGGTCTCTGCTTCCTCCTTCGAGATTGGAAACTCGGCAATCTTCTTGGAGTCGTCGTGCTGCGGCTCGCACTCCTTCAGCTCCTGGAGTGAGATGTCCTCGATGACGTACATGTTCCCCATGCCCAGATTGCCGGCCTCTGGGGAAAAGGTGCCCATACCGCAACTCCCCCGACGTCTCCCGGGGTGAGTTCTGACCAGCATTTCGAGGCGAATCCGACGGTGGCGACGACGGCCTCCCAGGAGGCCCAAGAAAAACGGAAAACGGGCGAATGGTAGCGGTATGGGTACTCTGGGTTTCTTAATAAGCGTGGGGGGGTGCACCCCCGTAAGCGTGGGCGGGGGGGGGACCCCCCGACGGGGAGCACCCTCGCCTCGTCGCCGCGCCGCGACGGGGGGGTCTGAGCGCCTTCGGCGCGCCGGCGGCTGCCCGCGACGGGTGTCGATGTGGGGCTGTCGGCGGGGGGGACGCCCCCCCGACGCTTGTTGAGAAACTCTGGGTACTCGGCTACACGCAAGAGTGACCCTGGGTAAGAGTGGCCTTTGGTGCGCGGCTGTTTGGGGGCCGCGGGGGGACCAAACCTGGGCGCGCAAGCCGCTGTTCCTGCTTCGTCTTTAGCCCTTTGGGGACCCATCTGTGCCCGCGCCAGAGGTCACTCCGGCGAAAAGTCACTCTTACGTCTAGTCGAGGTGCCTTCTCCTTGAGCAAGGACCGACCGTCTCGGCATTCCTATAGTCCTACCACGAGATGTTCTAAGAACCCCAAATAATGTTCTAATAACAACAACAATGTTCTTAGAACATCGACCCGATGTGTGAAAGCAAGACAGCCCCAGCCAGAAATGCTCTTGAGAACATCTCGTGGAAACCACAACAAGGTTCTTAGAACACTGTTTGCTAGGGCCATACTGCTTGATCTCCTCCCCCGCGCCTCGCTGTCCACGCCCTCCCCGGCCCGCCGGCGCGCGGCCAGCAGGAAGTCGTCCAGCTTCTCGGCCAGCGGCTCGGGGCCCGCCGCCTCCGCGCCGGCCGGCGAGCAGAGCGCGGGCTCCGCGCGGTGGCCGCCTGTGAAGGGGCCCGGGGAAACACTAATAAATACACACAAATAACAGGATGCCCTATATTCTCAAATATTCTCTGGGTTTCTGTCTTCCCGCCCACTTCCCATATTTTCCCATATTTTCTGGGGAATCGACGATTGATTGTGTGTGTGTGTGTGTGTTTTTTCTCCTCCTGAGCCTGGGCTGCTGACCGCGCGGTGCCGGAGGTTGGCCTTGTGGCCGGGGCTGAGCGCGGTGATGTCGGGGTTCTCCTCGGGGGGCGGCCGACGAGGGGGGCGTCCAAGAGGGGGGGGAGGGGCGCAGATCACGGCCGGCGGCAGGTGCGCGGCCCAGGGGGGGGGGCGGGGACGAGTTGAGACGCGAGAGGCGCCATGGAGGCCGAGTGCATCACATGGCCGCCGCCATGATATATTCCCCCCCCCCCTGGTCATCAACCCCCCTCTTTGCCGCCCCCGATCTCCAGCCCTTCCAGCGTCTGCTGGTCCTGGGCGGCGGCGGTGAGGAGGGCGTCGTTGATCCAGGCCAGCGAGGCGCGGCGTGCCATGGCCGGGGCGGCGCGCGCCGGGCCGGCACGCCGCCTCGTCGGGCAGCCGTCGCCGG